AAAATCCTTATGACTACATTGAGTGTATATATAACATATACTCAAGGAAATGGTATAGTACCATTTGACCCGAAATAATGAAACCTACATAGCTAAATGGTAGCTTAAGGTGACTATAAATCAATTAGATTGGTTGACTTGGAAGAAACCATCTTTGATGTAGTCTTGGTTTCAATTAATTCGAAGACTGCTAGCTACAACTAAACGGTGATTCAATGTTTGGACATAATATGGGTTTCCGAAACCATTATCAAGATAGTCTTGATAATATATGTCTAAAACTAGGAATCACAAGACGTGTAAGTTGTAGAGATCCATCCATAATGAATCTTAGCAAGCTAGTGGGAGCCATAAGTGTCTTATGAGAGAAAGATCAAATCGTTTGATTTCTCATAAGAATGTAAATGAATCTTTTGTTTACTAGGTTTACAAAAGATTAGTGGGAGTTAATCATATTCCTAAATTTGAACATATATATGATACATTAATTTTGAAAATGAAAGGAATTCTTCTTCGTTAAAGTTATGACTTTAAACATTCTATAACAATAGAATGTATATGGGAGACATAGTCTATATACATGGGATGGAAATCTATAATGATAGATTTCAAGATATAATTGGATTGTCTCAATGCCTATTGATAGACAATAGATGTAGGAAGTTTCTCGAATGATAAACTCCAAATGAAAGGACAATTCCAGTCAAATTGGGAGTTGTTCTTCTAAAAGGGAATGTACCCTTTTGACTCCCAAAGAAGCATAAAGCGTAAATAGAATCCTTTATGCATACACAGAAAGGTGATTTACATATTTCATATTGTATGAAAAACATTGATATGAGTTGTGCCAAGATAGGTACAAGACGAAATCAGTGCAAGCCCAGGATCAGAACTATGGCAATTGTCAAGTGAGTCCTTAAGTATTTAAGAAATACTAAATGATAGATTCTTCAAGAATGAGGAAGAATTAGAGTAACGCAATGGAAGCATAAATGTATTAGAATATGAATCTAATATCGTATCCATCATTGAATGCATCTTCATTTTGAATGAAGAGATAATTGGATATCTCTGTATTATGACTAAAAAGATATTTGGGTGGAAACATTAAAAGTAATGAATTTAGTGTGTTCCATCGTGCATACAAAATATATCGCCATATAGAAGCTTACAACAATGTTGTTTGGATGGGAAAGTTCATTTATGAACTCTTTATTCGGTTCCAACCAGAAAGTGTCTCTAGTGTACCAACACTACGACACTAATGGGGCGATAGCTCAAGCCAAGGAATCAAGGTCTCATCAAGATTCGAACTCACATGAGAGACTGAACTACATGATTGAGAATCATGCATAATGGTGACATCGTTATTCTCAAGGTTGCTTTTATGGATAACATATAGATATCCATTGTCTAGGCCTACTACTCAGCCATTTTTTAAATGAATTCAAAAAATGTATCATCACAGATAACCAAGCTGATTGGCTTTAGTGAAAATGGGATATTGTTGAAAATGTGCCCTAAAACCAATCATATGATGATACTTTACAGACATTTCACATGTTAAACTAATCTGGTTTAATATAAAGGGCAAATATTATTGTTTTAAGCCGTTATAAATGTTATATGCTTAAATGATAAGTCCAAGGAATATGTAATTGGGAGAATGTGATCTAAAGAAGTTAGATTCAAGAGACCATTCTCTTTCTTATACATATCCTAAACGTTCTTGATCATAGGATTGCCAATTGGGCATTGACAGTCTGTTAAGATCAGTACATGCTATGTCTTCTTTTAGGGAGAGTGACTGGTCTCGAGTCATTGGTGTGACTGACACCAAGACAAGCATGTAGATGCTCAATAGAGAATGAGTCCACTGAACACGATCAACAAGGAGTTCTCATACTCATGTCACATGAAAACTCATGGTTGGAATAATGCAAAGTAGTCCTTTGACCTGAGGTATCATAGTTGTCTTGTGGTTAAGTCCTTGATCTTTGACTATATCAAAGTCACTCCGTCAAAGGGTGTCCACGACATAGTTGGGGTTAAGTTACTTAGCCATGGAGGCAAGTGAATGCACAACAAGGGATCTCTGACCTTTAAACCGTTTAAGGGAGAATACTCTATAATATGATTAAGAATCTTTGGCCAAAGTGCGAAAAAGATTTAGGAAGTTGTTCCAAATCACATTCAAGGTAATCATATAAGTAAAAGAATCACATTGAATAGTAGACATAAATAAACTATCAAACCATACAATGTGGTTAAGAGTATTATAATAGAGAAAGACCGTATTGCATTGTAATCCTAAACTGAATAGGTTCTCTACCTCTTCTGATTAGCTTGGGTAGCCATGACATACTGCTAGGTGTCACTCATGGTTTATGGAAGCCCTAAAGGTGTGTAATCACTAAAAGGAGAATTGAAAGTATGTTTCAATTCACAATCGATTTGAAGAGTTCTAATCGCCCACTGCCTCGCTAAAAGGAAATTAATGGATTGTACACCGTGTAAGGTAGAGATTGAAGAAACAACAGAGATGAGTAAGGATAATTAAATGGTTTAATTATTATGGCTAGGATTAATTAATATGTTAATTAATCAAACAAATAAGTTTGTTATAGACCTTGGATTAGTTTTGGGCCTCAAGGCCTAATGGGATTTGAATGCCAAGCCCATTAACTCAAGTTGTATGACAACTTGAATACACAAAGGGCTTAAAAGCCCAATAAACTCTTAAGGCCGGCCACATTAGAGAATGAAGGGTTTTGGTTCTTTTGTCACTTAAGTGAAGGGACTTTATAATTACTGCCAAAATTCATTTAGGGTTTCTTTTGGAGAAAAGATGAGAACACAAAAAAGCTCTCTTTTCTCTCTAAGAGGCCGACCACCCTAGAGGAACATAGCTAGCAATCTTACTGCCTCTAGGTCACTCATCTCTTCATCAATGCTCTCCTTGGTGTGGAGACTTAGAGGTTCTCTATTTTGGGAACTTGGAGAATCCATTCTACCATCCTCATCCAAGAAATTGATGGAGCTAAGAAGTAAGGAATGAAGGCCCTATCTCTTGGGTGATTAGCCTTTGCTTACGTAAAGAGGAATACACAAAGGTATAATATATTTCAACTCACTTTGTTCTTGAGTTGAGTCTTGGTTCACCACACACACTAGGCCTTGAATTTCATGGGTAAAATTTTGTTTTTGAGTGCATACAAGCATGATTCTGCCTTTTAATTGTTAATTGCATGCATAGATGTTGCTTAAATGAACTAATTTTCACAAATAGATCATTCACCTTTGACTAGTACAAACCCTTTTCCTAGTCTTAGGCTTGGTCACGGCTGTGTGCTTTTTTTACAAGTTATTCGAATTTGCGCGTCTCTACCACTTAAGGCGGTGCGCGAGTTTAGTTCCAACATGGGCGGTGTCAAAGATGTTAGCGGTAGTGGTAATGACAGTGAGACAGTAGAGAATGTTGTGGTGGTGGTGGTGGTAGTGGCGATGATGACCGTAGTTGTAGCAAATGTTATTATGTTTTTCTACTAAAATTTTAACTTTGTTTTATAATGTATCCTTTGTATCTAATATTTTGAAAACTGTTCTTGAAAAATAGAGGAAACATAAATTTGATGTTCTATAAAATTAAGACTAAATTTTATTTTTATTATTTTTCATTTTTTTAATTTTGTTTTCACAAAATAGTCTGCCAAACGCATTTTGCATCCTCTCTGCAAAACGAAAAATTGTTTAGCAAAAAAGCTGATGAACGAGCCCTAAATGTTTATCTACAAAGATTAAGATGTGGAATTATCGGTTATCTTTTAGGTTTAACTTATATTTCCTTTTTTTGCTCATATGGACACCGAATTTAAATACTCTTGTGTAAAATTCACTCCAATATTTTATTTTATTTTAGATAGAAATATTTTCGGTTATTCTTAAAGAAAAAAATTGAAAACATTGATGCATCTGGAAGCTAGTTGAAAACGATGTATGTATTTAAAAATTCGCCTACACTAATCTTAAGCCCATACTAACCATTGCAGTGACGAAAGGGCAGAAAACAGAAACCGGAGGAGGAGCGTTGGATTGTACCGTTTTCTATCCACGATTAATCGCACCGAACACGACGTAGTGACTGCCCATGATGCGCTGACGCCCCTCGAATCTGGCCCCACCTAAATCAAAGCCAAGCCGTTAGACGTTGAGCCCTACAAACTTAATATAAGCCAAGCCATTCTGTACTTATTAAAATTTTAAAAATACAAGAAAGCAAGTATAAAATAATCTCTAAAGTTGCCACATAATACTACGATTTAGTGATATTTCTCTTTATTTATAAGTAAAATGTCTTTAGGTTCAGTTCTTACCAAAAACGAATCTGAACCACATTATTGCTAGCTCATTATGAGGTTAAGACACTCTCTCTCTTAGTGTAGATAATATCGTTTGTTAAAAAAAAAATCTATAAAGTTTTTTTGTTGATAATTTTCAAACAATTTTTCATCGTTAAAAGACTCGTCATATGTTTAGCGGCTATGTTTGGATAATTATTTCATCACTAAAAGCTTTTTTAGTTTGAAAAAAAATGTGAAAGAGAAAATAGAGACAACTAATCTCGTTACTTGGTTGTGCGGTTTTGAAAAAAAAATTGTAAAAATTATAGTTGTTGAATTTGGTTTTGTTGATAGGGTTAATTTGGCCTTTGAACTCTATTTTGGGTGACAAAACAATTTTGAATAATGCGTTTATTTTTTATTGGTGACACTTGATTTAGTTTGCAAAAATTAATCTCTTTAACATTACTTAAATGTTATCTCTGTCATAAACCGGAAAGGCAACAGGCTATAACCGGTGAAGAAGAAATTGCATTTGGATCGAATTTATGTTCATTTCATTTGCCAACTTTCTGCAGTTCTAACCCAATATCTAACCCCAGTTATATTCTAACCCAATATCGAACCCAAGTTGGTTTATTTAAAGCGAGAGAGTGTGACAGCATTGCTGGGTTGTGAACTCCTTCACTCACCTTCCTCCCTTTCTCTCTCTCTCTCTCTCTCTCTGTAAATCTCTGGTTATTTCCCATTGTAGTAGATGAACGCTCATATCATAGACTAAGCTTAGTTGTTTGAGTAATGATGTAGAGAGAGAGGGAAAGAGAGAGAGAGAAGAGAGAAAGAGAGTGAGAGTGTCTTGGTTGGTTGATTTACTTGTCCATTGGTGCAAAAATTTTGGGTTTGTTTGTTGGGTTTTAATTTTTGGTTTTGTTTAATTTTGATGGGTACTGAGGGAGGAGGAGAAGAAGTAGGAATGAAAGAGAAGAAAGATCATGAGGCGGCGGCAGCAGCAGCAGAGGGAGGAAGTAGGTTGTTGTACACCTGTTGTATACACCAGTACACTAGTTTGTCTAGTTGTTTCAGACATAATAATACTTGTGCTTCTTCTTCCTTTGCTTCCTTTAAGTGAGCAACATATGTTCCTCTAAATTATTAAAGATCCACTGGAAAACATAATCGAGAAAGAACAAAAACATTTACAGAGATAAGTAGAAAAAGAAAGGAGCTTTGATTGGTTTAATTTCTTGATCTCTTAAGATCCGGTATCAAACTCGTTTTAGCTCACTCACTAATTATGAAGAGGCTTGGAAGCTCAGATTCTTTGGGTGCTATGATTTCCATCTGCCCAATAACAGGTTAATTTTTTAGTTTTTAATATAATATCCATTTTATTTATTTGAATTTGCCTTTATTTTTTCTTCTATTGGTGTTTCCCCAAGATTCAGACATACCATGTTTGTGTTTTTTTTTTTGTTTGTTTGTTACCTTTTTCATGATCAAACACCGAGAAAAAAAAAAGCTTTGAGATCATGACACTCGATTGCTTCTTTTATGTTTCAAATTCATCATGTTGCTTGTCGAATTCAATTCATGTTTTGTATTCTTCCTTTTCTTGTTTTGGAATTTTAATTTCCAGCCTACATACATATATATTTTGAGCGTATGAATCTAACATAGGGAAGAAAAACAGCATCTGACCACTTGTTATATTGTCAATTGATTTTACGGTGAACGTCAACTTCCCTTGAAATCTATTGTTTTGCCTTTCTTAGTTGTCAAATTTTTGGAAAAACTAAGATTGGATTGGCTCTTTGTTTGCAGATGAACAGAGTCCAAGAAACAACCATGTTTACAGCAGGGAATTCCAGTCCATGTTGGAAGGGTTAGATGAGGACGGTTGTGTGGAAGAGGCCGGCCGTGTTTCCGAGAAGAAGAGAAGATTGAGCGTTGAACAAGTGAAGGCCCTGGAGAAAAACTTCGAGGTGGAGAACAAGCTTGAACCAGAAAGAAAGGTGAAGCTTGCCCAAGAACTGGGCCTCCAACCAAGACAAGTTTCCGTGTGGTTCCAGAACCGCCGTGCTCGTTGGAAAACCAAGCAATTGGAGCGCGATTACGGCGTTCTCAAAGCCAATTACGACTCTCTCAAGTGCAACTACGATATCCTTCAACATGACAATGAAGCCCTTCTCAAAGAGGTATGTACTTGATCCACAACTCTATCGATATAAATGCTCTCTTGTCAAATAGTACGAGACGTTATTTTTTATATAAAGAGCATCGTCAGTAAGCTTTTCGAACATGTCTCGACGCCTTAATCAAGTTGCATGTGATGCAGTATCTTATAGAAATAAATGTTCGATTGTCAAACAATCTCATGTGTCATGTTTTGTCTCCAACCTCGATGACGTTTGTTCTTGATTTAGTATGTGGTTTAGATCTACAATTTGACACCATAACATGACATTAATCAAGTTGTGGATATGATCTAAATCTTCGATCAACTGTTTATTTATTGACTTGCAGATAAAGCAATTGAAAGCAAAATTCCAAGAGAACACAGAGACCACTAATCCCTCAGTAAAAGAAGAGAAACTCCTGGGGAAAGATCAATCCAGTTACCGGGCGGTTCATGAGGGGAGCCGGTCACCGCCACCACCTCCGGAATCCTCCGTTCCAGAAACTGAATGCAAAGAGCCCAACTTTGAGAGCTTCAACAACACAAGTGGAGTACTAGAAGCCGTTTCATTGTTCCCGGATTTCAAAGATGGCTCTTCGGACAGTGACTCAAGCGCGATCTTGAACGAAGATAACAGTCCAAACTTGACTGTGTCTTCATCCGGGATTCTCCAAAACCACCAGCTCATCAAGTCTCCGGCTTCCACTTCACTCAAATTCAACTGTTGTTCGTCGTCCTTGCCGTCATCATCGTCAATGAATTGCTTTCCGTTCCAAAAGAGCTATCAGCCTTCCGTGAAGGTGGAGGAGCACAACTTCTTTAGCAGTGAGGAGGCTTGTAGCTTCTTCTCCGATGAGCAAGCACCTTCACTTCAGTGGTACTGTCCTGATCAATGGAACTAACCATCAACAATCCAATCAAATCCACTCCATCAGTCCCATCCAAAAAGAAGAATTGGAATCCAAGAAATAGACCTTCCATGATTTTTGTTAAATGGGAAAGTGGGGTTGTGTATAAATTAATGTACTTTGATCTCCACTGTGCAAAAGTGGAAGTTTGAGAGCAACTGTAGAATGGAGGTGGGAGAGAGAGAGGTTCACGTGGATGGAAGGTGAGGACGAGCATAAGGTATTGTCCTTGCCAAACCGTGCGGGATGATTGGGTCGTAATTAAAATTTCAGCTGTAAAAATGAAATGTCGGGAAAAGAAAAAACTTTAGGAGGTAGAATTTCGTGTAATGGAGAAAATAATCATTGTGCCTCACTTTTTCCCTTCCATCATGCTTCGCTTTTAACAATTTGAATGCTCGGTGGGCAGCTTTATGCAAAGGTAAAATCATATTTTCATATTAAAAATTTAATCTTAATATTATTTATTGTATTTTTTATTTTATTCTTATCGTTAAAATTTAAAATTTTTAAATTATTTTTATTAATTTTCTTTTTTATAAAATTATTACAATAATTGGAAAAGGAAGTTTCAAACTCCATAAATAAAAACTGAAAGTCACATTTATTAGAATATTCAACTACATACTGTAGATAATTTATTTCTTTTACCATGGAGCATGGCAGTGCCATATCCTTTTGAAGAGTATAATTTTACAACAGCATTATTAATAGGGGAAACTTGAAATAAGTCCAAATTTGTAAGCAATTACTAGATATAATCCAATTTTATTTAATTATTGATTTAAGTCCAGTGACTCATTGTCCATGTCATTTTATTTTCATTTTTTTGTCAAAATTCCCCCTCTATTAACATTATCCTTTAATTCTAGATTTACTTGTATTATGAAATTAATTATTTATCTTTAAATAATCCCCTACTTGTAGAATTAGTTTTAAAGTATATCTCTTCTTTCATAACTCATGTATACAATTTGTTGTTGTGTTCTCCGATCCCCTTCCTTCTTGTTCAGTCTTCTTCTTTCAAGTTTTAAAATTTCTAGAAAAATGTTCTCTTCCCAAGATAAATTAAACAACCATAGCCCACATGCATAAGGAAATTGAAACCAACATCCTTCAAAAGGAATGAAAAGGCCAAGCCTAATGTAACAAAGACTCAACTACTCTAAAATCATAAACAATAAAACTTGTCAACACTGAAACAACTGGTAACTTCGGGTTGAACAAATTCCAAACCAGGCAGATGGATCCGAGGCAACATCCAGGATACTAAACCAACTCATTCGCCTTATGAAATTCAAGTATAGTGGTTGTCAAGATGTATAAAATGTACACTGTTGGGATCTAGCATATAGAAACTAGAACGAGCAAAAAAAAAAAAAAAAGTTTCACCCTTTCTATAACCAGAACAAAGAAGATCCTAGTTATGTGGAAATCGATAACCACACAAGATTATGTAGAGGAAAACTCGTGTCCATAGCCCATCTTCAAAATACAGAACCGCAAGATAGATGTTGTATATTTTGTTTATCTACCTGTATTATATATTTCTCTAATGAATCTATTTGTATATTTTGTTTAGTCTACCTGTGTTATAGATTAATTGTATTTTATCTACCTATACGATATGTTTTTGCTCATTAGTCTATCTATATCACATATTCTTTCGTGTTATCTATCGATACGATAGGTTTTTATTCATAGTCTACCTATATCATAGATTAATTAATATTATCTACCTACATCACAAATTTTTTATCTACCTCGACAACGTTTCTTTTAATTTTTGATAAACTTATAAGATTGGTTGTAATGTGTTTTTAAAATGTTTTTAATTAGAAAATGGGTAGATAAAGTTATTTGAATATTCAAAAACAAAGAATTTAAATATTTTTTATTTTCAGGGGCAAAATAGATGTAATAAAAAATCAAATAAAATTGGACAGGTGAATTTTTTGGACCTGGATCAAACTGCCCCTTATTAATAATATCCTTTTGAAGAGTATAATTTTACAACAGCGTTTTTCTATTAATAAGGGTCAGCTTGAGAATGTTTATTTTTTAAAAGGTTTAATTGTAGTAGTGATTTGTGAATTTTAATCCTAGTTTAATTTTAGTCTCTAAACTCTCATATTAGTTTCTTTAATCTCGAACTAAACAATGTGTTGTACCATTGATTATTTTCATTAACGATGTATATTTTTCCATAAAATTTAAGGAGTTATTAGAAACTTCGTCACACATCACTAAAAATGATTTAAAAAAAAAAAAAAAAAAAAACCTAAACGGTCAGACTTTTTTGTGTAAGAAAATTGATTCATAGAATTTTTTTCGTAGTTCAATATGTGATTTGTTAGTTGTTTAAGTGCAAACATAGTTTGATCTCCTACCTACTTTGAAATCGCATTGCCCAATATTTACAAGTTGCTAAAATCATACCATTTTTATTTTGTATTTTTATAGTTCAAATGTCATTTTATTTTAAGTTTTGGATATTAATTTTATAAATTTTCATTTGTTTTTTTTAGCATCTTCTATTGTTTTTGAAGTTTTAGGGTGAAGTTCCTCTTAGATTTAATGGAAACATACAACATAAGTGAAAACAACCAATAGTGCAACGCATTCTTAAGTTCAAAGACTAAACTAACTAACTCAAAACGAGAATTTAAGATATCAGGGCATTTTTGGTATCTTGTTACTTGTTTAATTCGTTTCCTATTTGCACTCGTGGCAACTCTAGGTTTAAGAGCACTATATAACCAAACATCTAGGGTGCTACGGTTATAATCTTTTCATATCATTCAATATTAACCTTAAGGGTTTTCTCGATTCCTAGTGAATTCTAGTTTGCTAGGGGATTATAATTTAGGGTATTTCATTCGATGTCCCTACTCACTATATCACACTGCATAAAAACTAATTTGAGAGGTCATGAATCCCTATATCGGATTCCATGAGAGATTTAGAATCCAAATCTGGTTCCTTGAGAGGTTCAGAATCTCGTGCATAGTTTCTATCCGTTTTCATAAGAAGTTTAGGAATCTTATTTTGTATATCCTTACTATCATGTTTCATGTAAGGTTCTAGAATGTGCAATTTTATAAATTGGGTCGCTCTAATCTATTATTTTATTATACAATGAAAGAGATGATTGAGTGGATGTATGAATCAATCATAAAAAGATGGTTGGATGCCGGTGTGAATTTAATGGAGATTTTGAGCGGGGTTATTTTATATACATGCAATCAAGAAGCTGAACTCCGAATTGCAAATCCGAGAGAGCACTGAGATCGCGAGCAAACCAATAACAAAAACTTTGATTTCCAATTTCAAGAAAGCAGAAATGGAAAAATGCAAAAGATGAATAAAGATGACCCTTAAAAAATGTGCCACATGATTGGATCCCAAATATACGTGTCCACCTCCTTCCTTTGTCAGCCGCAGTTTTGAGATCAAATCTTGCGGACATGAATTCTCTCCGGATTTAATTATTTTAATCTTAGAGATTTATTAATTCGGACCATTAAAATTTGATTTAATGGTTACAAACAGGAGCTCACTTTAAAGTTATAATAACTTTAACCGTTGAATCAAATTTCAATGGTCCGAATTGATGGATCCCTAAGATTAGGACAATTGGACCTAGAGAGGATCCATGTTCAAATCTTGCATCTAGAAAGAGGTTATGTCCCTAATTATTAACTGACATATATTAAGCTTTTGACAAAAAAAAAAAAATATTACGTTTATAATTACATGTTAATTGTCATTCAATATTACGGTTTGTTAATGTTTCTTTATTTAGAAGTGAGAGGTCTTAGGTTCAAATCTTGTGGATAGCGAATTTGATACCAAATTAGGTTACCCATTGTGCAGCTTAGCCGAACTCCCTCTCTCCTAGTGTAAAAATATTGATGCACTAAAATAAATAAATAAATACATGTTAGTTAAAGATAGGGTGTCACATAGAGGTCACACCCATTTTGGGTGTAGAAGATTTGGTGTCCAGTTTTTTTGGTTCCACACAACAATCTGCAACTTTTATGTTTAAAAAATTGAAAAATTAGATTTCGGTCCCTAGTTACTATTGCCCTATAACTAAAAACTTGTTGGTTTTTAAATTTAATCCAAGTCCCTAGACTTTGTCAAATTATTATTTTACTATTAATGTATTTTCATATTAATGTATTTTATTTTTTAATTTAAAAATTATAATTTCAAATTCAAATAAATAACTCATTTATTTTCAATCTTTGTTGAAAAACAATTGATTTTCAAAGTAGGGTAATCATCTTTCTCTCTTTCTCCCTTGCCTCCTTTCAATGTTCTTCATACACTAATCATTTAGTATATAACCAATTGTATATACAAACCACATAGATTCATAGTACTATGTAATGGGTACATTTTTTTTTTCACTTGTAGCATATGTACCCATAAGCCTTTTGATCGATCATTCAGAATCTATCCATGTTAATGTACCCATACTAATATCAATACATTAATTGATTTATCTACCCATATTTTATACCTATCAATATTGTATTAAAATACCTCTTGACCATCATAAACCAGATGTGGTACATAATGGCCTTAAATAGAGCTTCATAGGACTTGAAACTTCTCTGCTCACCCAATTCCTTCATACTATTAACCAACTTAACAGAATCTTGAATAATGATAACCTTACCGTAGCCCTCCTTGACAACGTTGTTCTATGTTTTTTTTATCCCAGGACCAAAAAGACGTCATTTTGACTTGGGTATTTATTAAAATAAAACGCAGAAGAAGTAGCGAAGAATAAAACACAGAAGCAGCGCAACAGATTTTGGCTGCAGCTCAAAGGACTAGAGGGGAGAAATCTTTACTCTCAGTGGCAATTCCCGATGATTGAAGGGGCAGTTGCATGTCCTTGTCCCCATATAGCTTCGCCCAAGTGCAGGTGCTTATATGTAAATTGGGCTACTCGCATAATATCAATTGGTTTTATAGTGGAACCTCAACTTTTTTTATGGTATCATATCAAGTTTATGTAGGTGTGGCTCTACGTCAGTCGATTTGTGTTGTCACGTGTTAGACTTAAAAATTTGCCACACGTGAGGCAGCGTGTTAAGAGCACAAAATCCGCATCAAGAAAAACATAAAGGGATACTTTGGATGCAATCCCTAGTCTCTAACACTCTTTGACTAAAACCTTAATGGTATTCAAAGTTTGATCAAGGTCCCTTGACTTTGTGCACCTCATTATATTACTATTAATATTTATATTTTTATAGTTTGGACATTAATTGTTTGATATTTTATGAGATTTATAATCCTATAAATTTAAAATCCCTCATTATAATACCATTAGAAACAGCCACAATA